TCTGTAATGGAATACATTTTAAAAGTAACCTTCCCAACACTGTTTGTTTCTCTCCCCCTTAAGTTCAGTAGGTATAACTAAAGTGTATTAAATAAATAAAGTTTTTAAATTTTTAATTTCAATCACAGCTCACACCCTGTATTTTCACTTCCCGGCAGACTCAAGACTATTTTGTCATACACTCTGACAAACCCACACATGCGGCAAAACTGTGGGCAAAAGTGATTTTTGTCATGGCTGTGTGCGGGCAGGCGGGGGGATAGGACCCAAAATGCAGGACTCAGAGGCAGACGTGAACTCAAAATACACAGCTTTATTGCTGGAGCAACGGAACAGAAACTAAAGTGAGAATACAAAAAAATAAACTAAGCAGGCAAACGGACGGAACACACAGATAACGTGAGGGTGCGACGCGACACTGTGCAAGGGCAAACACATGGCAAGTAATCAGGGAATGCAAGACAGGAGGGAGACACAGCTGGGAGAGATCAAGGCTAATGAGACCGGGGGAGCATAGCTGGACACACTGGCATAGTACACAACCTTTCAAAATAAAACAGGAAACAACAAACAAAGATGCATACTAAGAAACACGAACTTTACACGGGAAGAATTAAACCTATACTAAACATGAGACACAACCTAAGAGCTAATCCCTCAACAAGAATAACTGAAACAAATCTATAATAATAAAAATTAACAAAGCACCAGAGCATAGAAAAGAATCTATAATGCAAAAATAAACCAAAACATAAGAAACTCAAAATGCTGGGTCAACACTGACCCAGAACCGTGACAATTCTTTTCTTGTCCTTGCATAAGTGTGCTTTTTTTTTGGTTTGGTTTTTTTTTCAAGTTACTTATTACTTTTAAAGTAACTAGTTACCAGGGAAAGTAACTTTGGTTTTACTCAGAATCTATAATTGTGTTGCTCCCCTAACTGGATACCAGCAAAGATGCCAGCCTTCTAGCTTGCTTACATGTTAGCACTATCCTGCCACAAGTGCACTGTGCCACCTAATGGCCTGAACCTAAAATGCCAGTGTAGTAGTGTGAGTGCAAGTTAAGGATGAAATGAATGAAACTAAATTTGAAATTAACAATGTTTGTTTTATGTGTCACTTTTTAATCTGTCTGTTTTAATCTATTTCTATTGTTTCAAACCTCTATAAATGCAAACACATCATTTTGGGGTTGATGCAGCAGTGTTATAAATCTAATCATTGTA